GGGAGACACCTGATGGCTCTGATGGAATCCATAATTTTCTGGGGTGTAATTGGCATGTTTACCAATTTATTGAATTGGCATATTTACCAATTTAGAGCTGTGGGGATTGCTAGGTCAAACATTTTCCCATTTCTTTATATCACCTTGGGAGGCTTAGGGATCCTGATGGAGTGAAATGCCTGCATCACTGGGGGAAGTAAGTATGCTTTTATTCCATGGGGAGGAATACAGCATTCCTAGGGGAGCAAAGACTTCCACCCTGAGCCAACACTGAGTAGGAGACCAGGGTCACAACTGTAGGATGCTACAGGAGAAGGTGAAGGAGGAAGCTCTTTGCTTCAGAAAGAAGGAAAGGAGTAAGTTAAACAGCAAAGACACGTTGCTTCACCTGGGCCAGGAAGTTCAAACATAAGGAGCAAGAGTAATTAATTTCTCCAGCAGAGCTCTGCGAGTGTACAATACACTCTCAAAAGGGCAGATACAAAAGCTTGTACTGAATTCTCCCGTTCTGAAAGAAGGCAGCATCGAGCACAACCTCGGGAAGAGCAGTCTGATGGAAATGAGCACTGCTGCACGCTTTTCTGGCCGAGAGAACAGCGTGCAGCACATCAGGGCTTGGTGAGTGGCAGAAGGTCAGAGCCGGTTCTGAGAACCCAGCAACAATAGAGTCATCACGGACACAGGTGCTTCCTGGATTGATCTTGCAGTTTGGCTGTTTCCAACTAAATGTGAAGCAGCTGTGGCCCTTTATCTGCTCAAGTCACTGGAATCCATCTGAGGAGAAATTTTCTCCCATCTCCTCCTCTCTCCCAACCCCAAGCACGCAGCTCTGCTGTCTGAAGACAAGAGAGGAGCAGGGACAGCCAGTTGGCAGAACTCCACCAAAAAAAAAGTTGCCTTTCTTATCTCAGGGCAAAGCAATGAGATACACTAATTTTCCAACGCCTTCATTTGGGGACAAGGAGGACAGCCAGCAAAAAAAGAAGCAAATATGAATGCTGTTGAAGGTTGTCGTGCAAACAGATTTGGGACGCTTTCCCTCAGGCAACAAAATAAACAAATGAAGCCAATGTGAGGATAAGTTCTCAAGTGTTTATGGCATTGCTCTGCATGATGAGTACAACAGGGTTTTTTTTTTACAGAAAGGGATCAAGCTGTAAAGAAGGTGTTTTCAACAGTCACCTGGTGGGATTCTAGAAGAGGCTCAGGAAGGTCAACACTGGGCCACTAAGGCAGATCAATGGGAGGAGCCAGGAGATTTCAGAAATCCAGTCAGTGAGAGTTCTCAAACAGCTCCACACCAGATGTACTTTACATGAACTTTCCTTTGCCAGTTCACTGATTCTGGAGCCATCAAACCTCTCCATGTCTCGGCTATCTCTTCCAACCTGACAAGATCTCACTTTATTTTTTCCCCAATACCTTAAGAAAGGGAGAATTTGGCTCAAATTCATGCTTGTCACTAGACAACAGAAACGTGAGACTCTAGGTATTCGGTTTGGTTGGCTTAAAGAGCAGCCATTTCACAACCCATGCTTAGCTTTTTGGATAGAGGAAGCCAACAATCTTCTGGTTTTGCCCAGCCTGTATGTAACTGAAAGCACAAACAGCTTTGGTCTTTGTCCTGTTTCACTCTTCCCAAGGCTTTTCTTTTTTCATACACAGGAACAGTACTAGTTATTTTCTAAAAAGGTATTCTTTGTCCTTTCTGAAACTGAAATGGGGTTTAAATTATACCAGACTATACTCCACCTACTTATGGTAACACTACTTAATTATTATTGATTATAAAGATCAGAACACTAATCATGCCAATAATAATAATAATAATAATAATAATAATACTGTTCTAGGAACAGATATATTAAAGAAAAATAGTATTTGCTTTTTTGGCAAGGCAGCATGGGTAGTAAGCAGGATATAGAATACATGTTTTGCCAAAATTACTTTCACATAATAGGGCTTCTTACTTAACCTGAGCAAGATTGACTGCAAATCACTGTCAAGAAATCACTGATATTCATCCAAAACCACCCTCAATTTCAATCTGATAATACCTCCAAATGTTTCTATGTGCCAGCTCAAATTGTTCCTCTTCGTTCTCCTGCATACAATTTGTCCACACTACTCCTTTTTTTGAATTCCCTTGGCCAAAACATAAGCGTGCAGCTGCTTCAGTTTTTTTCCAACCCTTGCATTTTTTCCACGTGCTGTCCACCCCCACCAATCTCTACATTAGAGTCCAGCTGATCTTCCCTGAACACTATCCAGTTTTTCAATTGTCAATGCCAGAATGCAATGCAGTGGGCTTGACTCCCTTATACAACTTCTTTGGAAGTAAAGCAGATACGTCTCTTTTGGGTTTCAGCAGAGGAGAGAAATACCTCTTATTTCACGTATGGCTTCACAAGAATCAAGATGAAAACACCTGCATCTCTGTAACCCATAAAACAATTTCTGCTCTGCAAGCAGCCCAAATTTTGTTGAGCTTCTATTTATTTATTCTATGTATAAATTTTGTTAGTGTAGCCACTGTCACAAAATGGTTCCTCTTCTGGGCCTTTCTAACTGTCTTCAAATGTTTTTATTTCATCTTTTAAAAAGCAGAAGAGTAAAAATAGAAGGCTGGACAAAAATGCAAGGTTCCTTAAGAGTCTGAATTACAGCAACACGAGAACACAACAACCAACTCGCTGTGCTTCTGAACATGCTGTCAACTTTTGTCGCAACTGTGTTTGGCTAGACTGTCTTGCATCTTGCCCAGAAATCATAAAATACAAGCTATTCTAAAAATGTCTGAGAGCCTCTTTTTTTTCTAAAGGCAGCAAGCTGTTTCCTGTAAATATATTAAAGTTCTCTTTATCCACAATTTCTATAGTCTTCTGCCATTTCTGCACCTTGAGTTATGCAGTCCTGTGGCAACTTTGGACTTCTTTACCATGTAATTTATTTTTTTTCTACATTCTCATCTAGGACTGGCACATCTGCCTCATCATCAGACCACAGGAAAACACACAGAGCATCTAATCTTTATGGGGTGCAACCACATGCTCTCGCTTGACTCAATCCAGTACTCCTGCACAAGAGTATACCCTTTAATAAAGTTTTGTACGTTCAGTGTTCAGAGCAGACCTCACTGGAATTAGGGTACTAGCCCAGACAAAGGGACCAACCTCCCCAACACTATGGTCTGGAGCTGGGAACAGAAGTTTCCAAGTGTGGGACAATTCAGCTGAGGACATGTGCATTGGTCTAGGCAGCAGTCCAAGTCCACTTTCTTTCAGGAACGTTTTCCCCAGAGACTACAACTTTAGCAAAGCCATCATGAACAGGAGACACTGCTGCCAAGGTAGAGGAATGCACACATAGAAGTGCCCCATTCTGCAAAAAAAGTCAACATTAAGTGCTGGCTTTGATTCAAGTTTCCTGCCCTATCCTTTATTTCAACTCTGTGATGATGTGTAAAGACATATCCCAAGACCATAAAGAGTAGCAACTGTTCTTGGACTTCTCTCACACTACTGCATCTTTTGTTCTTCTCAAGGCCTTGCAACAGCCAATAAATTATTAGTTTCACAATTTCCAGTTGAAACACTTTTCATGGAAGATGATACTTTCAGCTAAATGAAAATTGCTGAAGAAAGTGTCTGCTTCCCTGAGTGGAAAGTTTCCTCGTCAGAAATCTAGGAACAGTACACCTCAGCTGTTCTGCTCTAGTTTGGTTTTCTGTTTTGCTGTATTTATTTTGTTAATTTTAGTCAAAATTTCCAGCTCCAGCCCGTTACAGTGTTTACTGCTCTTCCTTGTGCCACGTTGACTTTTCTCCCTCTGCCAAAGTGCTTCTTAAACCTTCTCTGAATATATGCTCTTCCTGGTGTTTGATAGCTTTTTATTCCTCTTTCCCCCCTTCTTATTTAAGACGATGCTTTTATTGCTCGACAGATTCCAAGAAGCATTCAGGATAAATGCTCTGTCAAAGACACTTATGTACAGTTGAGCCATATGATATTCTATACGAATCACTGCGGATGTTTCACAAACAAGGTTAGATCAGCCAGATTTTCCAACTATATTACACATGGTTTTTTCAGACATGGTCTACTACCTCTGCGATTAATCCTCCATATTGACACTCACCTCATATTTGGACCATGTCATGTCTGCCCACCAGGGACAGGAGCATGCTGCTGACACTTTCTCCTAATGAGGATAACAATCCTATGACAGAGTAATCCTGGCCAAATTTTATCTGCAGAATGTAGGGGAAAGGCTAATTTTCTAGGGAAAAGCTAGATGGTCTCTCACCATCCCTCATGGTTTTATTGTCTACAATTTCTTTGGAAGAGACCTCATCTGAAGGAAAGAGAAAATTCTACGGGATGAAGGAAGTTTGTTTCACCAACTAAGGACAATTTCATGCCATATTTTATCTTATAATAATGAACATTTCCAAGAGATTGGTGATCAGTCCCTTCCCGCCTGCTTTACTTGACCAGATAGATGGAGAAGCTCAGGGAATACTGAATTGCTCTCTACCAACCCAACACAAGGTGTGTCTGCTCCATTAAATCTGGTCCTTCAGGAAAAAGTGAAATGCCAGCTGAAGAGCAGCAGCCTGACAGAGAGGTCTGCAACTAAAGAAGCAACTAAAACCCTATGGAGAGAAAAATGAAAAACAGCTATGGGGCAAAATGAGCTGAACAAGATGTTTCTGGGAAGAAACTGTGGCACTTCTGAGCTGGTATAATGAAGTAGCTGTGATATAAATAGTGTCCCCAAGTGAAAAAAAAAAAAGACAAAAAACCCCAGCCACTGAGGCTCCATATGTTTCCAAACTCACACAATGGATGCTTTACAATGAACTTTTTGTCTGGAACTTGGGTGGGAAAGGGAGGTTCTTCACCCACTTCCTATACTAATGCAATAATATTGCTTAGTCACAGAAAAAGGGAGAGAAAAAAGGAGAGAAAGTGATTAATAATCTGTGGGCAGCTGCTTACTTTCCAATTGGTTGTCCAGGAGGAGTGTGCTCCACTTCAAATCCTGCTTGTCTCAGTACATCAATCACAGTGTTGTTACCCAGGAAGTGACCTAAAATACAGGTAGAAAATAGCACTGTCAATCAAACTGCTCCTCTCACTCACTTGAGTTTCTCCTGTTGGAACAGCAGGTTTGGGAGGCAAGGGTACCAGAAGCTAGACCAGCCTCAAAAGCAAGAAAGGCACGATATGGTGTTTGTTGTCATTCAGACTCAGCTATTTGCCATGTAGCCCCACTGCAGCCTTTGGCAATGGCCAGAGGAAGAGGGAACGTACAGCCCGACACTTTCTTCTTCCATCTTACTCATCCCTCCCTCCCTCCCCTCATGTGGCCAAGGGACTGGGTGGATAATAGAAAACCTAGATGGCTTACTAGCCTTGTCTTCCACACTGGCCATTTTTAGTATGTACATAGATTAAATAGACTTCTAACATGGATATCAGAATGACCCTGGCAAAAGGATATGACTAGGGCTTTGACTTGTGAAATGGAACAACATACAAAACCAGATGTCCACCCTGATCACCACTGTTCATGGGCATCCAGTTATGAAGAAGCTCTGAAGCTGCTGTACTACACGTTCAGTGCTTGTCTAACTAAATCCCCAGTGACTGGGGAACTGCCTCACCAACCATTCAGCCACCTGCTCAGCAGGGTTAGGAGGAGCCGGGATGGCAACCTTATCTCTCCCAAAACATGAAGATTTAGTCCTGTAATTCAGGGCTCTTTGTTAGAAGTGTAAAGGTCACATTCCTATTCACAGAAGTAACAAAGAGCCCAATAAGTATTGCAGCATGTACAGGCCCTGAAAGAGTTTACTTAAGAGAGTCCCATATACTTGAGGTCTGAACCAAATCCCACTGGAGTCAATGGGAGCCCTCAAAGGGCTTTGGGTACAGACTCAATAAGGCAGTGTAATCCCTCCAAAGCTTTCAACTTATTGTTAAAGTCCCACATTGTCTTCAGGATGGGTTAGATATAAAAGTAAGAAAGCAAGAAGTCCACTAACAGGTTTATAAAAATCCACACAGCCCAGTAACCTGTCTCCAGCTGCAGCCTGCGGTGCTAAAGGTATGTACATGTATAATAACTGACACTGAGAAAGGACAGAACAATCCTCCTCCATTATTCCCATTAGCTCCCAGCTCTGCAGGGCTGGGTGACCCCCATTTACACCCAGGTCAGTGCATCTCACTGACAGCTCTGAATAGGCCAATTCACCACGAATATGCTCAAGGCTCTGCCTCCATGCACTTATTGCCCTGTGGCATCTTGCAGCAGGGAGTTCCACCATGTGCTGTGTGTGAGTACTCACTCCTCTGGTTTGCTGCTGCTTGGAGAGTGTGTGCTTGCCTGAAGCACAGTCAAAGTGTTTGCAGGAGATGTCTGGAACAGCCTGGCTCCACAGCAGAACCAAATGCTTTGCACTGTAAAAAACAAGGCAGGCAAGATGTGCCTGAGTCCCTCCATCCATGCCACTGTGTAAGGAGCTGGTGTAGCCATCAGCAGAGTCACCCCCAGGACACTTCGCCCACACTGCACAAAGTCACTATGAATTTGAGAGTAATTCAGCCCCCAGGATTTGCTAAGCCTGCATCTCTCTGCTCACGCTGCCAACAAGGGCGCTAACTCACATCAGTTGTTGGAATGATGTAGCCATACAGCTTTGAGTGCGACTTGCAAGCGCTGGTAAGAGCTTTTAGCCAAAAGACATTTCTTTAAATGATTAAACATACATTTGCAGAGCCCTAGTGTGTTCCAGGATTCCTCCACTTCCTTTTAAGAAAACTCAAAATTTGATTTTCTCCTTACTAGCTTACTTATAACAAAAGCCAAAGCAGCAGAGAACAGTCCCAAAAATGTGTTATACACCCTCAGAGATTCAAGAAATGAGACATTTGTGAATGATTAACTGGATTTGATCATATCCTGTTTTTTTATGCAGTGGCCAAGGCAAACAAAGGTCCCCATTCTGTCATGGGCCAAGTGACACTGAGGAACCTAAGTCAAAGGTATCAGAGATGTTTCTGAGTCGATGGTACAGCACTCTACCTTCCCTGAACCAGAGTCTTAAATGCCAAAAGATTCCTCAATGTAAATAATTGCCCTGAGTCCAGCAAATATTTGACATCATGACAGTACAAAAGAACCCAATTTTAACTCTTTTAAAGCTAGGGGAAAAAATAACTATGCAACACCTCTGCTTCCTCATCCACAAAGTGGTGGGACTGTCAACAATGTCAGCTCCTCAGCAAAGCCTGCAAGTCCCTTCAAGTGCCGGATGAAGACCAAAAGGTGACACTTCCTGGACTTCCCACTCCTGCCCTCTGTGTGGAGACCTGAAAGATGAAAGCTCCTTGGACTGGTGATCTGCTGTGCATGATAGCAAAAAATGTAAGTATGGTGAGATGTGTGTTTGCACAGGGTGGGACGTCCCAAGCTGTTCAGTCGTCTGCCATACCCCTTTCTCTTGGGAGCCATACTCCAGCTGTCTGGGAGTTTGTGCAGGATCTGGGCTGCAATTACAGGGAACAGAGAAAGTTCTCACCAAGGTAAAAGTCATGTGGTGAATGAATGTCCTCAGGATGTTTTTCAATACCAGGGACTGAATTTCCATATCACAAATCGCCTTATCCTCTGCTCCATTCTCAAGGCTTATTCTTTTAATTTTGCCTTTCCTAACTGGAAGGAATACCAGCTTCCACTAAAAAAACTTCATCAAACTTCAAATCCCTGAATAAATTAAAATCTTCCTCACAAATTTCATTGTGAATAGTTATTTCATTTTAGGTCCACAATTCAACACATACTACGATATTTTCAATGCCCCAGTTCAACCAAGAGAAAAGAAATTAAAAAAAAAACACAAAATCAAAGCTGACGCCCAAATAATTCTCCGTTCCACATGTATCAACAGAGCCTGAAGCTTCAACAACTGCTAGGAAATGGCAGGAGCAGGTCTTTGGAAAGCATTATCTTTAGACTCCTCTTAAAATTTTCCTGTTTGCATTACCCCACATACAGCTGGGTAAATCACCACCCATCTCACCATCAGCTTGCCCTGTTATTACATCCTCTACACCTGATTGCAAGATTTCTATATGAACCAGCTCTGACTTCTACTTGTCTTCTCTGTCCAGTCAGAATTCACATATTGCAATTGATTTTGTATCCAACTCTTTGTTTTACATCACTGCTGCTGTATCCAAATCAGCATCTCCTTATGCACACTGCGAGCAATTTGAAGTCATGTTCTAGAGACGGAAAATCCAAAATTATGCATCAGACCAGCAGCCTTCCCACCCAACACAGTCACCTTCCCGACAGTGATCCACGGCAAGGAGCTCCTCAGGATTGAAGATATGTGTGGAAGAGGAAGGTTTAAGGAAGAAGGTGGCACTTGAGTGCGCCCAGTGCAGGTGGGTAATGTGAAACATGAAAATGCTCTCATGTCATTGCTGTACTTCCAGGGTTAAAGAATTCCTGGAAGAAACTTCTTGGCTTGCCTCCTGCTATGAAGTCCATCATAATTATTATTCCCAGTTTTAAAACCCAGGCAAATTTTCTATATGAGAAATTTTTTACATAAAATAACTCTACTTAGTCACCCAAAACTTGAGATAAGCATTCACAGGCTAGATATTGACAACAATAGAATACTTTGACGGCTTATGGCATGTAATGAAACCAAATTTAACCCATATATTGGAGAGAATTAAACTCAGCATCAGTTAAAATCATCAAATCTCTGCCTCTAGCTGCCCATACGTGCAAACATAATATGCAATAATTGCCATATTTTTTATAACATCAGTGGATTTAATTTTTATTTATAGATATAAAATAAATGAGCTTTATATATATATACATCCATGTGCGTGTATGTGTGCTTCTGCTAAATTATTTTAAAAATTTCTCTTCCTGGCCTGGAATAAACCTCAAGAAAGTATAACTATTGAAAAGTTAGTGCATCTAGAGACATATCAGACAGATTAGAGAGACAGAGGAATGATCTTGCATTTCCATCACTATTCCCTCTTCAGTCTAAATCTGAATAAACTATTCCTGGAGTATTAACCAAATTTATCTTGACAGCTGATGAAAACTGGATCCAAGAGGTCAGAACATCAACTGCCTCGGGAAATCCATGGAAGTATGGGAAAAGGAGAGAAAGGAGACATAAAAGATTCTCTAGATGAGGACCTTAAGTCTGTACTTGGGCATGGAGATATGCAGAGCAACCAGTACTAACAGTTTAAGATTAAAAAAAACCCATGTGTGGATGCAGTCCTTCCATCCTCTGAGGATAAGGACACACTCATGGGATTTGCTTTAGGACAAGACCCAGTGCTAAATGCAGTCATTTTGTAGTTTGAACACAAATACAGTGGAGTGGCCAGTGTGGCTCGCTGCACTTAGAAGGGGTTTCTTCATTAAATTTGATGAGGCCAAGATTATTCTCCTTTCACTCATTTATTGGTTTTTTGAGACAGAGGATCTGGAGACACTGGAGGAACACATTAGACAGCACAGTTGCTAACATTAATCAAAGACCTTCCACCCCTGGTTTGCTTTTTTATTTTTAATTAAGAGCTGTTCTTCGGACTACACAAAGCAGATGCATGTAATGTGCTTCCTATCTCCCCAAGGTTTCATTTTTCATTGGAAGAAAGAAAGAATAAACTACTTTGGTTTTTTTTTACTAAAAGGTGAAAAATAAGTGGTTTCCTTAAAGCACACCCATGCATACACACGCGGCTGAAAAAATGCATTTTCTTCTTTTATTAGTGGAATATCTTTAGGTGAAGAGAAAGACCTTCTCAGCCAACTCTTAAAAGCCACATAATTTCTAACTGACCACATAAATTAAGCTCTCCTTTACCACTTCAGACATCCTGGTGACCCTCACCAATAGCATGCCTCAAAAGTTAAATGAACTTGGTGTTTCTGCACAGAAAAATATAACCATGTTCTGATGACAGAAGCAGAAAAAATGTTTTTGAGCAGATGTTATGTACTTTATCTAGGTTTACAGATCTCCTACAAATTAC